AGCAAAGGAAGCAAGTGCATGACAACATTGTGGCAATCAGAAAACAATACTGTGCAAAATTGATAAAGGAAGAAAACATCACGCCAATACACACAACCAGATTGTCTACACCATTACATTTACTCACCTTTCCTTCTTTTACATCCAAAGAAACCTTTATTGCTTTTTCCAGCTCTAGTGAAGTTCCTTTGTCGATCACGTTCAATTTTGTCTTCAATAAGTTCCATCTCCTACTGAAGAGATCATTTAATTCCTTCGCGAAGTTATAAATGTAGTTCCCGGGAGGATTGTACACCATTGCATTGGAAAAAGTCAGCCTCACATCCCTAGCAAATTCCTCAGCATCAAAGTATCCATTTTCCTCTATTTTACACTTTATCTTTCCCAAATCCATTGGTTCGGTGATTATTGAAAAATAATCCGGAATCTTCAACTTCAGAGGATCAATTGGTTGATTGAAAGCAAATCCGTGAGGGTGCCCCATCAACAATCTCAAAGTTTTACTATATCGCTCTTTGAAACTTGGTTCCGTCCTCTGCTTTTTCTCCCCTTGGCACTCAAGGATCACTCCGGGTTTACGCTTGTTAGAGTTGCCTGACTTAGTATATTTGACTGGAATAGATTTTCCATTTGCATTAACTCCATCTCTACATTCATTATTCACAATCATCATGATGTTACCACTTGACTTGTCTTCTAATTCACACTGTTTTCCTTTTGAAGTGATTTTGAACTTTATGCTCCTCTGCACAGTGTTATCAACAGCAACCATAGTGGAGAATTGTAAGTGCTGTTGTGGGGAGCAGATTAGATTTCAAGAATGATTCTCAGCAACCAGAACTGTTGGACTGCACATTATTTAGAAGCAAGTAAGAAATATTATTGTGGGCCCAACAATGAGCAAACAAATGTTTTTTTTACTTCCTACTATGAGAATTGGTAGTAGTTAATTTCACATAATATGTCCCACACAATTTCTTACTTTGGTCGCAGACCCATATTCACAAACAGAAATAGATAATTGAAGTAGTGAATTAAATTGATAAAAGAAACTAATTTTTTACGGTATAAGGTAACCATTTCAAAATCAAAACACTTTTTTTATTTTTTTATTTTTTTTTTATATCTAAAATACATAACACAGAACATAAAAAATCAAAAATCAACTTCATTTTTTACACAGGTTGTAGACGTCAAAATATCAATAATCATTAAAAAAATACATATCAAATAACGAAAAAGAAAAGAAAAATCAATGGAAATAAAACATACAAAATCCATACATTCCATAAATACAATTAGGAAAAATAAAAATAAGTGAATAAAAAATAGCGCGAAAACTAACCAATAATCCAATAACGAAATCAACAGTTGTAATATCTGTAAGCAACAACATAAACAATAATCTACAGGGGCGATGGTAATTAGGGTTTAGGCAAGGGGAAAATCATAAGCAACCACGTCAAAAGTTCAAGAGAGACATTGTCAAGAAAAATCGCTGTTGGATCAGAAGAATACAGGCAAGAAACAACATTTTTTTGAAAAAAAGAAAAAATAAAATAGTAAAAGTAATAATAATAATAAATTCTGTGGATCAAATCAAATTATTCACAGCAATCGACTTGAGTAAAAATTAACAATCAACATATAAAGCCCGTTTTTACACACACTAACCTTTCAAGACGATCGTCTGTCGGAAATCCCTTCCCCCAATTCTATTAGATCCACTAACAATTTAGTTTCAACAACTTTTGGAAATTGTAACAAGAAATATTTCGAATTGAAATTTGGAAAACTATTGATGTTGTCAGGTAGGATTTGGGATCACTACTCCGGCTTGCTTTTGAATTTATAGAAACCGTTGGCTCAGTCCTCAAAATATTTTGTTTGTCCCCAACTATTGTGATGGGCCGTATGGGTCTTACGGTATTGAGTTATATCGTTTTTGCCCTCCATCTATTGTGATGCATCGTTTTGTACCTCAAATTATTGGATGGGTCATTTCAGAAATCAAACTATTGAGATAGGTAGTCTTGACCCTTCAACTATGGAGAAGCATCGTTTTTGCCCTTCAACCATCGAGATATATCCTTTTGAACCTCCAACTAATGGCGAGGGCCATATTGTTTATCCACCTATTAGGGGTTGTTTTGATCCTATACCTACATGGGGTGGCTCATTTTTGTCATTCACATGGTGGGATGGGACATTACAGTCCTTCACTTATTAAGATGAGTCAATTTGGTTCTCTAGTTATTGATTATTATGTTTTTCATCCTCTAACTATTGAGATGCATTGTTTTGCTACTCCATCTATTGAATTCAGTAGTTTAGGTAATCCATCTATTATGATGCATATTTTTTGTCCTCCAATACTAAAATGAATTGTTTTAATCCTTCAACTATTGTGAAGTATTGTTCTCGTAGTCCAACTATTGATATTCTTAGTTTTAGAGCATGTTCGGTAGTGATCCTGAAAATTATTTTTTAATCTTTAGAGAGAAAAGTGAGTCCTACTTGTGAGTGAATAAGTTAAAAATGATTGTTGGAATAGTGAAATAATAGTTAAAAATTAATATTTTTTTTTGGTGAAAAAGTGCTACCAAACGGAAGCTTAACCTCCAACAATGAATTCCATTGTTTTGACAATCAATTTATTGAGATGTGTTGTTATGGTCCTCCATCTATTGGATGCGTTCTATTGGTCCCTAGATATTGAGACATATTGTTTAGGTCATTCAAATATTGAGATACGTCATCTGGGTCTTCCAAACTATTTATATTTTGACTGTCCATCTATTGAGCTTCCTAGCTTTAATCTCCAACTAAGAATTTCGACATTTGGTCTATCCAATTATTAAAATTCGTTGTTTTGTTCCTCCATCTAATGAGATACGTTGTTTTAGTACTACAATTAGTTAAATAAGTTATTTTGGTCCTACCACTATTGGAATGTGTAGGTTTGGGCCTCAAACTATTGAACTACATAGTTTAAATCCTCAATCAATTGAGATGTGTTGTTTTGCTTCTTCATCTATTATGGTCATTGTTTTGGTCCTTCGTATACTTTGACCCTCTAATTATTGAGATTGGTCATTATTGTCCTCCATCTATCCAGATGGGTCTTTTTGATCCTACACCTATGGGGATGGCATTTTAGTCCTCCACCTATTGGGATGGGTCATTAGGGTCCTCGAGCTATTTAAAAAAGTCGTTTGGTGCTATAATTATCGTCTATATTCTTTTTAGCTCCCCCAACTACTGAGATGCACTTGTTTAGTCCTCCAACTATTTCGAAGCATCATTTCAGTTATCCACTATTGAGATCATGGTTTTGGTCCTCCAACTACTGAATTCCATCATTTTAAAAATCCAATTATTAAGAAGCATTGTTTTGGTCTCCATCCATTAGGATATGTCATTTGTGCTCTCCGACTATTTATATTCCAAATTTTGGTCCATACTAATTAATTAAAGGTTGAAGATAAGAATTCGACAAAAAAGTTAGAGAAAATAATTACTACAATGAACAAAAATTGAGTTTAGCCACAATTAAAATGTAATGCATCAATTAACAATTGTGGTGATAATATAACCATCCAAATTTTTTTATAATATTAGTTAGTAATTTGAAAATTATTCTAAGTTAAAAGAGGCAATCATTATATAAATATACTATATACATGTTGCACAACCATAATAAAATTATTAACAAGGGACAAACTTAGTTGAGAATCATCCACTGTAAATAATGATAATTGCAAGTTATTAATTGAAGAAAAATAGGAAATTTTGAGGCCCTTCCTTTCATTTTTGTTAAAGTATCAATAAATCTCATTTTTAAAGTTTTATAATCAAATTACAGTTTCTTTCACTTCTAAATTGGAGAAAATGATATTTCTCTGAGCATAAATTTTTGAAGGAATGAGAAATAACCGCCAAACTAATTCTAAATAGACAAACAACTTTTATACGAATGGGGTTATCAGCTCGCGACATGTAAGTGATACCATCAAAATATTTAACTCATTGTACTTTAATTTTGGATTACAAATTTACTTGTGAATTAATATTGCACTTAGATGTTTGAAAATGGGTTTATCATACTCTCAATTTCACATTATCAAAATAAGAAAAAGGACATCAACGGAAGAATTCATGAAAAGGGAACGTGGAGTCACATTGGATCACCTAATGGAGGAATTAAACTAGTCATACAAAATGGACGTACATTTAGCAAAATTGTTAATTGTAGAACTTGCAATTCTCCATTAAATCACGAATTTAAATTTGTGGCGACTGTGGGTGGTAACAAAAAGACGACAATAAAGTACAAAATCATCTCAAAAGGAATATAACATCAATCATACGAGAAATCACGTGAAAAACATCACAGTGATAATAAAAAAATGAATGCATAAATGGAGTTAATGCAAATAAACAATTTGATGATAGCAAAAAACTTAATTAGACTGTAATAAAATTTGAAACTTGGTTTTCCATTGCTGCTAAATGACTTGAATTTTTTTCTTTTTCAAATTTTCAAATTTTTTTTTTATTTTTTGAACTTCTCATATGTGTTAGACGTTGTTGATACAAGATAGATAAACTGATTTATCTTAATTGACTTATCATGGTTATATTAAGTTGTTGATTTTTAGTTGATTAGTCTTTTATTATTCATAATTTACTCGTATATACAACATATATTACATATCATTATCATTAGACAAAAGAATAAAATGAAACAAAGCAAATTAAGGTAACAAGGGCATGTACCAAACTAATTCTAAGTAGGCAAACAACTTTTATACAAAAAGGGTTATGAGTTCGTGACGTGAGTGTATAGCATCAGGATATTTAACGCTTTGCACTTTAATTTTTGGTCTACGAATTTACATGTGAATTATTGTTGCACTTAGAAGTTTGAAAATGGGTGTTATCATACTCAATATCACATTCTCAAAATATACAAAAAAAGGCATCAATGAAAGAATTCATGAAAAGGGAACGTGAACGTGAAGTTACATTGGATCATTTAATGGAGGAATTAATCCAGTAATACAAAATGGATGTACATACATCAAAAATGTTAATTGTAGAACTTACAATTCTCCTTAAATCACGAATTTAAATTTGTGGCAACTGTTGGTAACACAAGAGGATCATAAAGTACAAAATCACCTCAAAAGGAATATAGCATAAATCACAAGAGAAATCACGTGAAAAACCTCACAATGATAATAAAAAATGAATGAACAGATCGAGTTAGTGCAAATAAAAAAATCTAATTTAGTCAAATTTTCCTAGTCAAGTAACTCCAAGAAGCGTAAGGTCGAGTGATCCTTGAGCATCAAAGGGGATAAAAGAAGCATAGGATGGATTGAAGTTTCAAGCAGCAATGTAGTAGCATTTTGAGATCATTGATGGGAACCGTCACGGATCTTCTCTAAATCAGCCAATTGATCTACTGCTGATTCCAATAACTATTGAACTAATGAACTTAGGAACGATAAAGCGTAAACTAAAGGACAATACATACTTTGATGCAGAGGAATTTGCTAATGATGTTAGGTTCATTTTGTCAATGCGATACACAACAATCCTCCTAGGAACTATGCAAAGGAATTGAATGATGATTTCAAGAGATGGAAATTACAGCAGATAAAATTGAAGTGCACGGTAGGCATCTCGAACGGTTATGCACTGTAGAGGAAGTGGAAAGAATGGCCAAGATACAAACCCATTATAAAAAAGAAAGACCAAAATGCAAAACAATCTTGCCTTAATAAAGCTTTATGGCCACAACAGGCCACAGTCTTTTAAGGGCAAAAGCAAAATTTGAGGAACAAAGCTTTTGAAAATATCAAGCAGAAAGATAGTTGAAGCTTTAAGGTCAAGATAGTTAAAGCTTTAAGGGTGTTCGAAAAGTTTTGTATGGCCAGATTGAGAGAAGAAAAACTCGATTCTTATATTGACATGATCGACAATGAAACTTTTCCCAAGCTAGACAGAAAGAGCAATAAAGATTTCTTCGGATGAAATAAAAAGGAAAGGTGATAAATTCAATGTCACAGACAATTCAGCTGTATGGTATGATTCTTTCTTCTCTGAGATATTCTGCATTATTTTGAAGCTGAAGATTTCTTGGTATTTTGATGTGAACCAACTGCGTCTTGAGCAACATCTACTGATCATCAAAAAATAAAAAAAGTTAAATACAAGTTGAGAATAATGCTATCGAGCACTATTGGTGCTAAAACACTAGTTTAATTTATTTTAGTTTAGTTGGCATTAAAGGGTAAGTCCAATTAAAGTTAACTATATGAACAAATATGTAATCTATTTAACTGGACTTATCGTGTTTTAAAGCCTCTAGTACCGAATGGCGTTTCTACTCACATGATAATAAAATCCCAGTAAGGCAAAAATCGTACGTAAAGTTTCAAAGGTTCATAGGAAGGAAAATTTTTTTAACACAAAAATATGACAATACACCATAATGTTAAATCAAGGATATGCTTAGATCACCTTCATGCTCCTGCCTTTCCAATCTTCCATTTTCTTTGTGCCCATTGACAGGATTAATCTTCTCGTCCTGAACAAAAATCAGCAGAATAGAGATAGTAGTAAGTCTACAAATCAAAGAGAGCTCAACCAACCTAGTACCTATTCTGAAATTTCGGCAAGCCATAAAAATTCATTACATGATTCAAGAGAGTCATGTGTAGCTCTGAATATAGTTGTAACATATGAACTAGTGAAGACCATTATAAAACAAATACATAAGATAAATCAAGTCTTCATATTTCCAAGGTTCAATAGCTCGGATCTTGGAATTTGGTGGGGGCAAACTTACACATTTTCTTACATCTACAACATTGCATGCATGTATCTGTGTGCCCGTGGGAATAAGACAAGACTCATAATCAGATTCAGAAAAATGAAAGATTTCCATCAAGCCTGGTTAGAAACAAGATATCTCTCAGCATAGGGAGATAAAATGAGGGAACAAGAAGAACTCCATGAGCTCAAGCTCATCCAAACACCTACTTCAGTAGGTCTTAATTGGAAACATTTTCATGTCCTAAACATCATTGGTAGTGACGTGTCAAAGCTCAAGCAATAAAAAAACTAGCTACACGATTACAAACATATAATGAACAGCTTTTGCTCTCACCATTAGAATCCAGCTTCAATCATCTTGTATGAGATGTCACGGGATATTTAAGCTGACGACACTAATGAAAAAGTAGCGACAATTAGCCAAAACTTGCACATTATATTAAATAAAACTATTTGGTGAAACAAGAACAGGCTGAAACTTCCAGATATAGAGTCACCATAGTGATTACGATCATGATCTTTCTAAAGAAGAAACTGAATAAAAATGAAAAGCACTCCAAATTGGCTGACAGGAACACAAATGGAACCTACTAACAGCTGATACAAGAATTTAACTCACCACTGAAAGATGGCTCAACGGAACATCTAAGGCTTCATTGGCACATCAGACTACCACTTGCAGCACATTCGACTGCAGGGAAATCAAATGGTTGTTTTCTATTGGAAGCAGCAAATGCACATTGAATGCCATTATCTGCATACAAGATACATGGCTAATCAGGTCATGGAAAGAACCAGAAAGCACAAACTCATTCTGTCAAGTCTTGATCTTATGAACAGTTTTCACTAACGTGACTTTGTGTAGTTCTTGCAGGCTTCCTCTGTTGAGAAGAACCTACAGAATCAAGGATTTATGTAAAGAAAGGTCTAGTGACAACTACCAAGGATCAACATAACATCGATAGAGCAACGAAGGCAGGACAACATTGTGGCAATCCCAAAAATAAAAAATAAAAATGGAGAGAGATAGAGAAACTGCACAGAATTGATAAAGGAAGAAAGAATCACACAACCAAATTATCTCCACCATTAAATTTACTCACAATCACACAACCAAATTATCTCCACCATTAAATTTACTCACCTTTTCTTTCATTGCATCCAAAGAATCTTTATCTCTCTTTCGTTCCAGCTTCAATAAGATTTCATTGTCAATCACATGAATATAAGAACCATCTTTTTCTTCTTTCAATCTGGCCATAAAAAACGTTTCGAACATGAACCTTATAGTTTCCGTTATCTTTTTGCTCGATATTTTCAAAAGCTCTTTTACTCAAATTTTCTTTTACTCCAACGACATTGGCCGCTGTTCCAAAGACTGATGTTCCCTCAAGATTTGTTAGGCGAGATTGATTTGCATTTTGGCCTTTCTTTTCTATAATGGCCTTTGTATCTTGGCCATTCTTTCCTATTCTATCTGCATCGCATAACTGTTTGAGATTTCTTCACGTGTACTTCAATTTTGTATTGAATAATTTCTATCTCCCGCTGAAAAGATCATATTCAATTCTTTCACATAGTTCCCAGAACGATTATAACATATCGCACTTGAAAAAGTCAGCCTAATATCACTAGCAAATTCCTCTTCATAAAAGTATTTATTGTCCTCTAGTTTACGCTTTATCGTTCCCAAATTCATTGGTTCAATAACTAAAATAATCAGGAATCAACTTTACATGATCAACTGGTTGTTTGTAAACAAATCTGTGAAGGTACTCTATCGATGATTCTCAAAATGCTACCACACTGCCGCTTGAAACTTCAGTCCATCCTCTATTTTTTCCCCTTTGACGTTTAACGATCACTCCACGCTTGCATTTGCCTGACCAGGAAATTTTTAATGAAGTAGAATTTCAATTTGCAGTAACTCTGTTTCTGCATTCATTATTCACCATCACTGAAATGTTATTCATGTGATTTCCGCTTCTTATTCATGCCGTATTCCTCTTAAGGTGATTTTGAACTTTTCGTTGCTCTTCAATGTCATTCATACCTGCCATAATGAAGAATAGCAAGTGCTGAAGTGAGGAGCAGACCAGATTTCCGTGCTGATTTTAAACAACCATAACCATTGGACTCAACAACATCACAGAGCTTACTATTGGAAACTAACATATAACAAAAAATGTAGACAGTGATCTAGCACGTATGTATAAACATATAGAGTGATACACAAAATTGAATTTTAATAATAAAGTGCCACCTCCACCAGGCAGAATTACTTCCATTTATGAGCTTCCCAATAGATTACATTCATCGGTATTTCACAAAAGCATAAGTACAAAGAAAAAATATAAATTTAAAATTAGAAATAACACAGATAGACACAAACTAAATGCTACGACTATCACTCACTTTCAAATTTCAAAGATCTGCACAGGTTCCGTCAAAATTTAATAAAAACTCAATAGTTTTCGATTATTTGTAAAGAAACGCACTGGATTTTCCAAACCAAGATAGTATTCCCCAACTTCATGATTCGTGAATACTCCAACTGGCCATGAACTGCATTCGAACACCACAGTGGTATCGTGCAATAATCCAATTCTTTAGAATGATGATAATGAAAATGAGAGAGAAAGTTGAATAGAAGGGATTTTTCTATGAAGATGGAAAATACAGTAGTCGAGAGGGAAGATCAAAAAATTGAATCCAGGGATAGATCAGATATGGGAGGGGAATTGCAGACGGAGTCGCGGAGACAGCAGATGTGAAAGTCGAATGCAGATTTGCAGCCGAGCTGAAGATGCGGAGAGGGAGAATTGGGGTTTGGGTGCGGGATGGTATAAATTGGGCGTGGCAAATTGCGGTTAAATTTTCAGTGAAAAGTATTTGGGTTGTGGCTAATGGGCTTCAATTGAACGCTATTAATTCAGTAAACAATAAGGATCCATTTGATTAAAAATATAGAATTGAATTGAATTGAAAATGAATTTCAGAAATTGAATTACCTAAAAATTATTTTCTTGAAAATTATAAATTATTGTGTTTGATTGGTATAATTTTTCACGTGAAAAATGTTGAAATAAAAATTTTTTTTGGCTGTTCGTTTGGCTTTATTTTACATGAAAATTGTCAATTAAAGGGATAGATTTTACTGGTATTGGAAAATTTGTTTCTCTTGCCAAAAAAAAAAGTTCAAGAAAATCATTTATTTTTTGGTGTTCGTTTAATTTTGTTTTACATGAAAATTCTCAATTAAAGAGAAATATTTTTTTTACAATAATTCTTAAAATTTGTTTCCATTGCACAAAAAAAAAAAAAAATAAAGTTGTTACAGTAAATCGAAAATTGAATTCTCACCATTTTGGTGATAATTCATTTTCCTCCAAAAGAAGGAAAAAGTCTATGTGGCACCAAAATGTGTAAAATGAATTTCTTGGGAGTTTTTGCCAATCAAAAACCCAAAAATTGAAAAGTTGGAATTCGAATTCCATTTTTCATGGAATTCAACTCCTATCAAACACACCCTAAACAAAATTTTAAGTGGAAATTACATCCAAACCTATTTTTAAAGTTTAGATTTTATCATCAAATTTTAATTTTGATTTTTCATAAATCATCCCATCTCATTTCATCCCGTCCTATCCATCCCATCCACCCCACCCCAACCCTAATTTATCTTCACCCATCACAAAAAATGAGCTCTGCCTCTTGACTACAATTTGATCCTTGTTCCCATAGACATTAACGACAACACTGGAATGCACGATAGCAAGGCTACTTCGTGATGGAAACCTAGTTTATTTTCACCAGTCACAGAAAATGAGCTCCTCCTTTGCACTGCAATCTTATCTCTGCCTCCACAGATAATAGCGATAGCAGTGGAATGCACGACAGCAAGTTTACTTCGTACTGGAACCCTAATTTATCACACATCACAGATAATGAGCTCCGCCTCTACACCAAAATCTAATCCCTGTCCCCCACAGACACTGGCGATAGCGGTCAAGATGGAATGAACGACAAAAGGCTATTTTACAATGGCAGCACATAGCTTCTTGAACGCGCAATGGTGATGTATGTCATTGCCTATTGCAAATGTGCATTCGACATTCATCATCCCTCGTCACTGGCCTTCTCATTTTTCAGATTAGAGGCAGATTGGAATTTCCTTTACATTCATTGTTTATCAGAGGCCTTCTTGCCGCCTAGCTTTGTTTTACAGTGGTACCCATCATCGCTTCACATTCAATGCTCATTGCTGGCCTTCTCGTCATTTTGATCAGAGGTAGATCAAAATTTCCTCGACATTTGTCGCCCATCATAGGCCTTCTTGTTGTCTGGCTTTGTTTATCTCTTCTTTTGATTTTGTAGTGGCCTGAGTTTTGGGATGGATTTTGTGTGTATTGTAGGTGTAGATGCATGATGCTTGTTTTAGAATTTTGTTGGTGGAACTAGTGGTTGTGTTAGTGGTGATGTGACATCATTGTTGGGTGTGTGGTAATGTTGTAGTTACAGTGGTGGTTCATTTGTTGTTGGTTGGAGTTGCAATAGATGTCGAAGTGGTGGGGTGGGGAGGCGTGGTGTGGTGTGGTGTGGTGGAGGTGATGGTGATGGTGATGGTGGATTAGAGGATGTGGTGGTGGTTGTTGAGGAGAAGTAGTAGGTTAGGAATAGTGATGATGGTTCTTTGGAGGTGGAGGCGGAGGAGGTGGTTGGTGTGAGATAGAGGTGGTGGCATGGCGTGTCGTGGTGTGGCGAAGTGTGGATGGTGGAGCGGAGTGAGGTGAGTTGAAGTGCATTTGTGATCAATTGGTGGGTTGATTGTGACCTATAAAATGATTAATTTGTGATTAATAAATAATATGTGACATACAAAATAGATAATTTGTTGCAAATAAATAATATATGATCCAAAAATGTGAGATTGTGGATAAGTTTGCAAGTGTGATTCATAATTGTTAAGTTTGGATCAATTAATATGATAATTTGTGATCAAGATTCTAACCAAATAATTTGATAATTTGTGATCGTGAAATAAGTTCTGACTTATAAAATTTTTAATTTGTGGCTAAGAAATACTGTGTGACATATTAATTTGATAATTTGTGATCGATAAATAAGTTGTAACCTTTAAAATTTTTATTTTGAGACTGTGATGTTTTGTGATTGTGATTAGTACGTAATTGTGACAACAAACTATATAATATTGTGACCTAATATATTTAATTAGTAAAATATTTTTAATTATCTATTTAATTAATAAAATTGGAATTACGACTTGATTTTTGAAGCTTGAAAAACAAGTTTCTCAATTTCGAAATTGTATCTTGTAACTATCTTAGATATGCTCCCAATTTTTAATAGGGAAAATTAGGCCCACACGCCTAAAAATATGAAGTTGAAAATAAGTCCTTAATTTCACAAAATTGAAATGTACATCCAAGTAATATTAATCTCTCTCGGTGTAAAGGAAATTTGGTCAAATAGCCTATTTTATAATACATTTGGCAAATTTAGGATGTGACCTGAATAAAAGTTTTGTAATAAATACTATATATAAAAATTGATAAACTACTTAAATTACTCGCATTCATTTAACACAAAAAAATTTCCCCTTCCTTTCCAAATCGATCGAAACCCTTCAAACACCAAATTCATCTCTTTTCTTTCAAACATCACCACAATTTCCCCCCATTTTAAACACCACCATCCAAAAAATCCTTCATCATCTCGTTATATTCTTCTGTATCTTTCCTCTAATCGAGTTTATGTGTAATTATTCTTCCATTTCGAACTTTACCACCACAACGGAACACCCACCAACTGGCACACCTACAATGCGAACAACCATCATTGCAAACAACCAATTCAAGGAACCAATTTCTTTGTTTTCTATCCTCATGTATAAAGGTTTCATCATATCCATTGTTACTAAGATTTTGTGCAAATTTTTGTAGAAAATGTCGACATTTCGACATGTTAATTTTTTGTTATTGTATCCTATTTAGCTGATTTTTCTTTGGGTGCCAATGAAAATGTGAGTTTTCAATGTTTTAATTGTTGGGTGATTTGGTTAATCTTTTTTCTTTTAAATACTCTTTTGTATAGTTTTTGATCTCAAGGTTTTGGAAGACTAAAATTTCAGGGTTTTTGGATCTTTGAACATAAATCACGACTATGTTACCAGTGTAATTTATGAAAATATTTTTTAGAAATGCTCAAAATTAGGATTATTGCTACTTTGATGTAGGACTTATTGGAACAATTAGATACATTGCCTCATTGTGACCTCATCTTTTCTAAGTGAAAATGTACGAGTAATAAATATAGCTGCTTAACTTAGCCTCCATTTCTTAAGAGAGCAGTAATGAATTTAAAAGTAGGTTGTAGAATTCATCGACTCATTTTTTTGACTTTTTTAATGGTTATGGCATACTATGCTCATATGCTAATATTTTGCTTAGAATTTTTTCCTTTAAATTTTGTAAATGAAATTAAGTGAAGAAACTTATTATTTGACGTTGAAATATCCAAATCCCCCCCCCCCAAATAACGACTTTCTACTCTATAAGATGTTTACGTATATTGTACAGAGTTTGTTTCATTAGCATAGTTATAAGAATTACTGTATTAATTGTCTTAAATAAATTTCGAACAATAATCCGAATTAGATATGAAATTGAAAATTTTAAAAAGAATCAATATGTTCACTTTGCAATTTGACAGCCTAAATTTTGATTTTGACCTATAATTGAGTAGTTGATACACTTGTACCAATATGTATTGGGTGCACAATTTTAAAAATCTTCTTTCTTTTGTCATTTGCATGCCCATGCATATACTTGAATGCTAGAGGCCACTAATCAAAATAGCAATGGTTGGATGTTGTCAATCAAATTTGCCACATTCCATGATTTGTATATTTTACTATATTTCTTCTTGAAGCCTAAAATTGTCTTCTTAATGCCACCATACCGCTTATCTATTTTTGAAAGTAACACCCTGCCTTTTATATTATTTCTGAAAATGCCACTTTGCCATTTATCGTTTTTGAAAATTGATTTTACTAAGTAACTTAGCAAACTGTATATTCTTCATATTTGTTTATTGATTATCTAACATGATTCGACCAAGGCATCAGACTTCGACAATTGGTTTGTTAATACACATTACAAGTAACTATTCCTAGTGTAATTATTTGGTGAAGTTTGAATTTATTTTCTTATGTTCTTTATATTCATGTAGTGAACGTGTGGAGATGACATCATTCACGAAGCCAAAAAGTTATTTTGTAGAGATGAGAGCAATATGGGTGGCTGAGTAGTGATGTAAAATTTTTAGCATTTTATATTCTCCTCTTTTTTGCATTGCATTCTTAAATGGTTGTATACATTTTTAGCACACTGACATAGCATTGTACTTAGTGTGGGCACAGGCAAAGACACATGTTGCTGTTTTTACACAAGATTGTGCTTTTACTAACAAGAGCAACATGAGGACGGAGAATTGCATAAGAAAGAAAGAAAGCCTATAGAGGACTTTAAATGGTTGAAGAATACGCCAAGATACATATATGTTAAAAGTCCAGAGAGGAGTAAATGAAGAAATTCCTGTACTTCGTTGTATATTCCTTGTAATGTGGATACAAAGCACGAGATTGTAGTTAAAGTGAACATTGTCGATTGAACTATAATCGTATACCTTAGCATGAAGAGTTGCACACATTTTGAAAAATTGCAAGAAGTCGTGCATCCCATTGTGAAGGTAATTCCTAGAATGATGAAGGAAAGTTTATTATTTAGAGAAAAATATCCAAGGAAGGATTTCTTGAATCGACATAGGGATGTTCCACAACAAAATTAATAAA